GTGTCCACGGCCGTGCCTGGAGCCCGTGTCCAGAGTCCCTGCATGGAGCCCATGTCCGGAGCCGTGTCCAGAGCCATGACCGGAGCCCATGTCCAGAGCCCCTGCATGGAGCCCATGTCCGGAGCCGTGTCCAGAGCCCTGGAGCCCCTGCACAGAGCCCACGTCTCGAGCTGTGTCCACGGCCGTGCCTGGAGCCCGTGTCCAGAGTCCCTGCATGGAGCCCATGTCCGGAGCCGTGTCCAGAGCCATGACCGGAGCCCATGTCCAGAGCCCCTGCATGGAGCCCATGTCCGGAGCCGTGACTGGAGCCCATGGCCGGAGCCCCTGCATGGAGCCCGTGTCCGGAGCCGTGTCCGGAGCCCCTGCCTGGAGCCCGTATCCGGAGCTGTGTTCAGAGCCGTATCCGGAGCCCCCGCATGGAGCCCATGTCCGGAGCCGGTGCCGGCCGCATCCTCGTCCCCAGGAACCCAGCACAAGCGCTAGCAAGAAACCCAGAGCAGCACCACAGCAGCTGTTAGATATAATATTTATTATTATATACAAACACATTTTGTACATTAATTAAATAGAATGAACTCTACTCTTCATTCAGCAAATGATTTGGTTCATTTACCCCCGTTCTCCCCTTCCCACCACCCCCACCCAACTCCTCTTAAAAGCCTGCGATTATTCCTTGCTCTCCTGTGCACACGGATGCCGGTCACTCCCGCGGCCCCTTCCCGGGAATGCCGGCTGCAGGCAGGGGGGCCGTGCTGGGCCCTGCAGACTGCCCCGGAGCGCACCCAGGGCTCCTAAAAACAACATGACACATGGGGGGTCCTGGGCAAGAAACGCAAAGAAGTGACGGGGCGGGGGGTTCTGCACCCTTTGGTACTGACGAGGAGACTCCAATCCCCACGGGAGCGACAGGAATCTGCACCCCCTTCCCAAGGGAATGGCCTGCGGATGGGCAGATGCTGCTGCATGGGGAAGAGGCTGAAATCAGGGGGCTCCTCTGAGAAAGGCAGGTTAAGGGCCCCAAGCCCCCTCCTCCTGCCCTTTCCCCCCATATATTTCAGGCCCTTCACCTCCTGTGCCAGGAAAGAGAGGGAAAAAAATCAGTCGGAGTTTCTTGGTTTTAGCGTTTTGGTTCTTCGCTCCGCCGCCCCGCACGGCCTCAGGGACGGCCGAGCAATCCTCGGGGCCGGAGCTGACGCTGCAACGCGAACATGTCCCCGTGGAGGGACAAGGCACTGAAAAGCAAACTGAGCCACCCACAGGAGCAGGTGCCAAAAGCAGAGTCACACAGAGACAGAGCTGCTGCCTTCCTCCTCCTCCTCCTCCCAAGCGCCTCTGCACATAATGAAGCTGCACAGCAGTTCCTGGGAGGTGGCACTTGAGGCCTTCTTTATATTGGCCACACATATTTAAGAGCAGCCACCAGACGTCCCCAGCAGCAAAAGGGACAGCGCTGCTCCGGGGCCGAGCAGAGCAGGAATTCCCCCAGGATCCCAGCAAACGCATCCCAGGAAGCTCCGATTTGGGCACAGCCCCCGCTATCCCCAAACCCCCAACTAATGAAGCTGAAGGGGAGGGAAAGGGGGGGCGGAACCCGGGCTCT